AGGTAGTTCAGTGACCCAAGTGTCGGTAGTGAGGTGCCGGGTGTCCCCTGGGGAGTGTGTTGCGGCCTGCGCTTAGCGTGCAGAGGACAGCTCGGGTTTAGTGGACACTGCTGGGCCCCGGAGACCCGACTGTGGGGCTTGGCTCCTGTCTGGAGTGAGAGGGGGTGATCATCTGCACCCCTAGGCTGTTTGATTCTATCCTCAGGTGTAGGGAGTGTCACAGGGACACTGTGGTGCCCTGAGGGACCAGGAGTCCGAGACGGCCACGGGCATTACTTAGCTGCCGACGAGTGCCATGCGGCCGCCTGGGCGCTGGGACACGAACGCCGGGGCAGACCCGCATGCCCAGTGTTCTGTGCACGCTGTAAGTCTTCTTGTGTAAATGGACAAAGAATTACCTGCTTGTTGTTTGTCACGTAGCATGTCAGTCCGTTAAGCGGGGGTTGAGCCTCACTGGGCTTTGTGAAGGCTCGGGCTGGGGGGCAGAGATAGTGCCTGCTCTTGAAGGGCACACTGCCCAGTGGGGGCATCGGACTCCTCTGCAGAGCCTTCTCTAAATAGTAGTTTAAGGCGAGTAAAGTAAAAATACACACGACGCAAAGATCAACAATTCCATTAAAGAGTATCAGAAAAGGCCAGGTGGCTCGCTCTGCACAGTGCGCTCTCTGCCTTGCACCTGCCTGTAAAATGCAGCAGCAGGCTGGATGTGGTTGTCCAGCTGAAACAGTTGCGCAGACGCGCTGTGCACCGAGCCTGGCGCCCTGGCCCGGGCGCGTGCTGGCAGCCGGGTTTGCTGCAAGGTCTGGATCGGACGGCCAGCATGGAGCCGGACTGCTCCCGCCAGCACCTCCACGCAGCGAGCAGCAGTAGTGATTTGTGGAAATCATTAAGGACAGGCTGCCGTGGGGGACCGTGGCACTGGGGTCATGATGTGTTTGTGGGACACATGCCCCTTTCAGAGAATGAGGAGGAAACTGATCTCGTCATTGCCCGCAATCCGAGTGCTTCATTCCCGTGGGCTTGACTTGAAGCAGACGTCCTTCGGAAATCGTACCGGTTGTGCTGGAAAAAATAAAAGAGGAAAACTCTACTGTTTTCAGTTTTTGTCTCCCGTGCGGCCAGCGATGCTTCAGTCACGGCCCGCTGGCACTGTCAGCATTTCTCTTCCACTCTGAGTTCTTCATCAGAGCCCGAGCCGGGCACGTGGGGCCTCCGTGCGTGGTGGCCGACAGAGCGGCCGGCTGCGCCGCGCCTGAGCCCTGCCGCTTCCTGCCAGGGTGGCCTTGCGCCGTGCGGGCTGGCGCCGAGCTGCGCGCTGCAGCTGGTCCTGCCAGGCCGGCCCGCACCGCTCGCGCCCCGCGCTGCCCTTCCGTCTCCCTTCGCTTTTGGTGACTGCTCATTCGTTTCACTGTCCGAATGTTTGTTTGTTTATTTTTTTACTTAGATCATCTGCGTCTTTGTGGTCGGTTTATATGACATTCAAGTGAAATCATAGTCTCTGGCTCCCCCGTCTGGTTTGTGCCATTGCGTGAAATAGCCCCTGGCGCGGCCGGCCTGTCGCCGAGGGCAGGGCTCTGCCTTGCTGGTAGCCGATGGCGCTCGTGGTGTCTGTGTAGCCTGCTGACCCACTGGTCATTGATTGGCGCTGAGTTTGTTTGCATTTCTTGGCTGTTGTAAGTAACGTGACCGTAAAATGGAGTGCACCTTTCTTTTGGATTCAGTGTGTTTGTATGTTTTGGATAAATAGCCAGAAGTGGGAGAACTTCGTGGAATTGTGGGTTTGAGTCTGTATGCTGGTCTGTGGCGGCTCTCCTTCCCGAGCCCGCCTGCAGCCTGCAGGCCCTGCGCACACCCCGGCCCCGCGGCGCTCCTGCCCTTCTGAAAACAGCCGCCTGCCAGGCGTGAGGCGCCGCCAGCCTGCTCTGATTTGGTTCCCTGACGGGCGGTGCCTTTCACTTGCCCGTTGGCCACCTGGGGCTCATTCTGGGAAAGTCTAATCAGATCTTCTGTTCACTTTCAAACAAGATCGTGTTTTCATTGTTGGGTTTTGTGCGTTCTTGACGTAGTTTCAGTGTTCACCCCTTGTTGGGTGTATACGTGCAGATGTCTTCTCCCGTCAGTAGTTTGGCCGCTTTCTCAGATGTTCAGCGCTTTCCTTTGCCGCGAGAAGCTCTGGGTTGAGGTAGTCCCGCTTGCTGCTTCTCCCCTTGCCGTTGGGGTCCAGGCTCAGACACCCCTGCAGGCTGACGTCAAGGAGTGCACTGCCAGTGTTCCTTCTTGAGTGTTTCCTGGCTTGCCGTCTAACATCCAGGCCTTCGGTCCATTAAAATCATTTTGTGTGTGGCCGAGAGTGTCATCTAGTTTCATTCTTTCACGTGTGGCTGTCCTGTGTCATCTTGGGATTGTTGTTTAACTGCTGTATGTCAGTTTATCATCTAAATGAGGATATATATACATGTGTGTATACATATATATGTATTTTGAGATTTTTGGCTTATTTATGCATGCAAGAACTGGGTACAGGCCAGAGATACAGGGGATGACAAGATTCATCAGAAAGAGAGTGGGAAGCAGAACAAGAGGATTGACTGCAATGCACTGCTGAGGGGAGCAGTGAGCGAGTCAGGAGAGGTCTGCCACATCATGTGGGTCACTCCCTGGCAGGGGATCAAGCTCATGTTGTAGTGGCCGTGGATAGCTTCATAGGCTGCGCTTCAAAACGTTGCGCCACCAGGGAGGACCCAGGTGATACATTTTTTAAGTGAAGAATTAAGTGAGAAAGAAAACTGCTAGATGTACATCTGTGTGTCCATATTAGCTGGACTTCTGGTGCTTTCTGAAGCCTCTCTAAGCTCCACTCCCCATCTGCCCCTAACTCCCCCAGCGCCTGGTGTCCTGACCCTCAGGCTCCTCGCTGTAGCTATCCTGGCTCCGATGTGGCGCATCTCCGAACTTTGTTGAGTGGGATATCATTCTGTAGGGACGATTTATTAACTCCCCCACAGAGCCAGGAGGCACTAAATAAATGGTCTCTTTATTGCTGTGACTTCCCATAACATGATTTGATGGTGCGGGATCTGACGGCAAGGGCTGGAAACCAGCTAGGCGGGGAAGTGACATGGGTAGGCCGTGGGCGTGAGTGTGGACGTGGCATTTGCCACGCCGCTGCTGCTTGAGGCGGGGGCCCACCGCTTGGAGGCCCACATGTTGACCCCAAGGGGGCTTCACGGTAGGCACTTGGTTCCACACCTTCGATTTTTACGAACTTGGCAGGCAACCTTTGTTACTAATTTAAAATGTTTTCTGACATGAACCACCTCTCTAGGCTGCCTAAGAGCCGGCACAGGTGGTGTGGCACTGCGAGGGCAGGGGTTGGATTTGACCTGCTGCTGCACCCCGTTTGCCAATGCGCCCCAAGATTTGAGAGTGCGTAGGGGCTGCCAGAAAGCTGGGTACGCCGTGCCCAGGCTCTCCCGGGGGGCAGAGTGCACACAGGTGGGCGCCGTCTTCTGGCTCAGTGCAGTGGGCCTGTGTTCCGGTTTAGCCGGAGAGAAGGGGGAGCTGCACCAGGACATCGGGTCACGGGCGTCCTCAGCTGCAGGACAGTGTCTCCCCTCTACCTCCACAGCGTGTGGCTGCACACAGTTGAGTGGGGGAGCGCCAGGCTCGTAGCTCCGGGGAGCAGGGGTGGTGTCCAGCATTCAGAAGTGAGCTGTGGGCAGCCAAGTCCAGGCTCAGAGCCATTCTCTTGTGTCACTGGGCTCAGGCTTCGAGTCCAGGTGGCACTTGGAAGAGTCTTTGAAGACTTGGGCTAGGCTGTGAGGGGACTCTAATTCCTGTCTGACTCTGGTGGCCCATAGGCTCCCTGACCCACACCCACGTGGGCCACTGGGGAAGTTGGGCTCAGTCATTATACTCACTTCACAGCTGCCCTGTCCCCTCTTAACCAGAAGACCCCCCACTCCTTAAAGAACAGACAACCAAACCCACCAGCCCTGCTGCCTAGACTGGCCCAGGAGGCCCCACAGGAGGGATATTCTTTCCTGTTCCGGTGTGTGTGAGGCTGAGATGAATGGCCGCAGGCTGCATAGTGGGTCCGAGGGGTGACAGGTGTTGGGGTTCCCCTGCCCATGGTCTCCATTCTGTCTCCCATGTGCTACACACGCAAGGTGGTGGTGTCCTTGGCGACCCTGGAGGATGGTGTGGGGGGACAGCTGGGGAACCTGGCCACCTTTAGGAAGGCAGGTTTAAGAGCGGCTGGCACTGGGACCCCCCACATCCCATTTCCTGAAGGTTGGAACTGAAAGGAAGAACTCAGAGAATTGTAACGGTTCTGGAGGGGGTTTGGGGGGGGGCTGGACAGTCATGGTGTGGAAAGGTGTACATGATTTTTGAGTTAGGAAAATATTGAAGGAAGAGCATGGTGTTGCACTGGGGGACCCCTGGGTTGTGGGTGTGATCTTGTGCAGAGCAGTGGCTAGAACACCGAATGGGCATCACCATGTCCATTAAAGAGAGAAGAGGGTTTGCAGACACCTTGCTCAGGCTGCCCTCTTCTGCCCTAGAGCTGAGCGAGGTGTTTGGGGTGCGTCTGGAGGATAGTGGCAGAAGGCAGTAGGGAAGCGTGTTCTCTTCTGTGCCGCAGCTTTGCGGGGAGGGAGGACCAGGGGACAGCGGAGGGCTAATGTGAACTTGGACCTGTAGGCTGTGAAGAAGCCTTTCAACGAGCCCCATGGAAACATGTCGTCTGTAGACTGCTGTAGCCTGAAAGCAAGGCTCCTCGTGACCATTTCTGAGAGGGCCCGCGGGCCTGCTGCGCTGGTGCAGAGCCCCTCAGCACTGCCCCCACGCAGTGCGGCGTGTCAGGTGCCCGTTGCCCGTGTTGGCGACACGCTGCCGCCTGTCCTTCCTCCCTGTAATGGAGGCTTCTTGAAGAATGTCCCCAAACACTGGTGCAAAGCAAAAATGACTTCTGTGTTCTTTTGTTTGCCGTTAAGCAGAAATCAAAGAGCAGTCTGCAGAAGAGGATGCTGAAGCAGAAGTGGACAGCGGCAGACAGCCAGCCCCGGGCCTCCAGCGGTCTGTGTCCGAGGAGTCGGCCAGCTCCCTGGTCTCGGTTGGCGTGGAAGCCAAAATCAGGTCAGCGGACGTGTGGAGCTGAGAGGCGCAGGGGCGGCGAGCTGGCCCCTGAGGTGTCCAGTGTGATTGGGGTGGGGGGGGGCGGTATTTCCCAGTCACTATTACAGGGGCAGCGCCCCTTGGAGCTGGCGTCGGCCTGCGCGGCTGGTCGAGGGCAGGCCCCCATCCCCTGGGCTCTGGGACCGGGCTGCTTATGACCCTGGCGCGGACCTGCGAGGAGCGCGGAGGAGCTGTCCTGATCTGCCCTTTCAGCTTGCCTGCTCGGGGGTCCTGCGCTTGCTCTCTGTGCTCTCCGAAAAGACACGCGGGCGGTTGGAATCTGCGTCTAGCTCAGCAGAGGCTTTGTGTGTGTGAGGCCTCCTGAGAGGCAGAGCTAACAGCACACACCCCACCCTTGGGCCCGCATACGCTGTCACCCGTTCTGCTGGGGTTCGGGGCTCCTCGGTCCGGGCGCCATCCTGTCTGGGCGCTGCTGGCCCCACGTGTGCAGAGCCACCTCCACCTTCCTCTGGGCGTGGCCACTTGGAGCTGCCCAGTCGCAGAGGGCAGGCACTGTCTCATCTTCACTGTCTTCCCTCGAACCTCCCGTGCTACATCCTGGACCCCACTGGAGAGACTGCTCCAGAGTCGTGCTGACCCTGTCGGGGCTGCGGCCTCACCCTAGCCATGGCCACCCTTGGGGCACTGGAGCTTCCTCTCCGTTTCTGTTGCTTCTCGTTTCTGCCCCCGTCCAGACCGTCCATTCTGGGCCCTAAGTCAGGCCCGCTGCCTGCGCTTAGGGGCTGCCTCTTACATTTCAGTTAAGTGTTCACTATATTCAAAGTTTCAGATCCATTCTGTGCTCTTCAGGCTCCAGCCTAACCCTAGTCACCTCCCTGACGTCAAGTGTCCTGCTTTTGTGGATACCATTGGGCCTCCCCGTGCCCCGTCAGGCTTCTGCCAGAGGCCCCCAATTCCTCAGGCCTCTCTCACATGGCTGACGCCCTGCAGCCCCCTTCCTCCCCTACAGGGGGCCCCTCCCGGCATCAGGTTGTAGCGGCCTGGGGTTGGGGGATCTGGTTGAAGACCTTGAGGTCTTACATGGCTCTTGGCAGGGGATCCCTGAAGCCCCATTTTTGGGGAGGACTTGAAAAGCTCAAGGGAGAGAGTAGGATAGGAAGCGGGACTGCTCCCGCTCGGCCCATGAGCTCGCTCTAGCTTCCTCCTTGCTCTGCACTCGCGGCCTCTGCTCCGCGCGGCCTGTCCCTTACTGCTCCCCGGCACCTGCAAAGGGGTACTGGGAGCTGCCTGTTGGGCAGTGGTCAATGTGATGGGGATACATACTCGCTCTCCAGGTGGGGTGCCCACCCCGGAGAGGTGGTTGTCAAGGAATGCGAGTGTCTTCTCGGGGCGCTGCACCTTCCGTGCCGAGGCGCTGCCTTGGTGGCCAGGCCCCAGCTCCTGCAGACCGAGCTCCGCCCCGTGCCGCTGCTCCCGTCGGCCGCCGCATCGCAGCTCCGGCCTCCTTCAGCCTGCGCCCTGGGAGCGTCCTGGTCGGCAGGTGTCCCCCCCCCCCACTGGTCTGCAGGTGCCCCAGGAGCTCACGAGGGGTGTGGTTCGCGATCTCTGAACGTCCAGCGTGGCACACTGGGCTGCCCCCGTGTTGAGCGGGTGTGTCCTCCTCGGGCAGGGGAGGCTCTGCCCAGGCAGGGGCCTGTCGCGGGGGTGGGGCTGTGCCTCTGCACCTCACTGCATCCAAGCAGAGGACCGCTCGCCCCTGGGGGTCAGGGGAACCCCACCGATGGGTGACCGCTCCTCCCTGACTCTCCCGCCTTTCCTGGTTCTTCATCAGATTTCTTGAGCAGTTCTGTAGAATGTTCTCGTTGTGGCCTGACTGTGGTGAGACTGCTGAGGCCTTATAGGCTGCGTGTGAGCAGGGTGGGGTGAGGGGCAGGCCTGAGCGCCCCGCTTCTCAGTACCCCGTGTCCTCCCACTGATGGCTGCTCCTTCTGGGTGCTTGTTCGGGAAGAAATGGGTTGGGACTCTGGCGCCCTGCGGGAAACGGGAACTTACAGGCTTAGAAAGCGACACGTTAAAATGCCAGGGAGGATTCGGCTGTAGCCTCTTTGAGGCAAGACCACAAGTGATTCTTTCAGTTTGCCTTCGGGGTGTTGGAGGCAGGCGACGGGCACGCACGGCACGCGGAAGCCTGCGAGGCGGACGTGCCGCCGCCGCCTGGCCGGGGCGGGGCCCGCTGCGGGCCTCTCCCAGCCTCGGTGTGCTGTGCCGTTCTTTTTGAATTTTTATTTTCTTGACTTCGACTTACAAGAAAATTCTGTTTTTCAAGAGTAGGCGAGATTGCCGTTGGCTTGGCGGCTTCTCTGGAAGCCATGCTGTGGGCGGAGCCCAGCGCGCAGCCGCAGCCAGCCCGGAGGGCTCCGGACGGCTCCGGACGGCTCCTAGGCGCGCGGGCCGTCTGCGCGCGGGGGCAGCCTTGCGTCTTGAAGCGCGCCTGTGGGGCGGTCTGCCCCGCAGCAGCCGAGTAAACAGCTGTCCCCTCTGTCGCCCGGCTTTGCCCCGCCAGTGAACAGCTCTGCGCCTTCTGTTACTGTGGCGAGAAGAGCTCCTTGGGCCAAGGGGACCTGAAGATGTTCCGGGGGACACCTGGGCTCACCTGGCCGGGGAGAAACCCGCCTTCAGACAAGAGGGACGTCGAGGACAACAGCAGCAGAACCTGTGAGCAGATGCAGAGCTCGGCACCACGGAAGCAGAGACAGAGAAAGTGAGCCATTTTGAATGTTAATGTCGGGGTGCACCCAGGGTTCATGCTCGGGTGGCTGTGGCAGCCCGTGGCTGGTCCTGAGCGGCTCCTCAGCCCCAGGGGCCTCGGACCCCTGTCACCGCAGACGCGTCTTTCCTCCCAGCTGCTCATTTAAGAGAAAAAGATTGTTGTCTTAACTGCCCAGTCACCAAATCAGTGTGATCACCATGGCTGAGTTTTAGAGGAAATCTTCAAATTGTTAACGGCAGCTAGCTCCGAGAGGTAGTTGATGGGTTTGTCTGATGAATGGAATGGAGAGGTGAGGAAACCTTAGGTCTTTATTTCCTCCAAACAAGCTTGACTTGCCTGTGTTAGGTGCCAGTAACTCAGGGCCTGCAGTTGTCATTCATTTTGTTGTTTTGGGGGTTGATCGAACGTTGACCTGCCCTGTAAGCTCTTGGGACGACAGTGTCAACTTCATACGTCATTGTCCGCAAGGAGACCCATCTAGGTCAAAGAAGATGCCCCCACCCTCAGTGCGGTAGGAGTCGAGGGAGCTGTGTTTGTCCAGCATGGACGTTCACCGCAGCCACCAGAACCCTTGTCTGGTATGTTTGCTTCGGAGTTAAATGTTGTTGCAGTTTAGAGCTCTGTTTAGAGACCACCTCAGTATGTGAGCTTAGCTCTGGAGACTGAGGGAGTAGAAGTTTCTGTAGTCCACGAGAAAGTATAGAAACTAATTTAGCGCGGAAGGCTAGCCAGCCTGCCCGGCCTCCCCTGGCCCAGACCAGCACCAGGCCTTTTATGCTCTCTTGCTTCATGGGCTGCTGCTTTTGGACCGCTGCCAGAGCCTTGAAGGCCTGAAGTAGGAAATGAAACAATAACAAGAATGAGAATATTGAAAAAGAACTTCAGGTGGCCCTGCTTCAAGGCCTTAGAAGGAGAGCTTAGTCTTGGGGCTTTGTGGGAGCCGCTCGTGGTCACTGCATCTTCATGTCCTAGGTAAACAGGTCCCTGCTCTGCAGACTCAGTCCAGCGGTGATTTGCAGGTCTGCCTGCCCTGGCCATTTTGGTTGCACGGCCTGCCTACGTGACAGTGATCTTAGCGGCACCCATTCAGGGCAGGCCGGTGGGGCCTCACCCACTTCTGAGCTGAGTTAATTTTTAGCGCTAATTTTTAGGGCTAAGATCATTATGTGAGTGTGACCTTGGCTTAATGGCAGTGTATACTTAGTGTTTGCCACGTTATTAAGTAATACAAACCACTAAATGATGCTTAGGAATGAAACGAATTTATTAAATTTGGGAATCATTTAGGAGTTGGCAATTAATTCAGCTTGGTAATGATTTTAAACATTTACAAAATAAATTGCTAATGAAACTATAAACCAGATAAACAGCTAATTTTTTTTATTTGAAAAGGAAACAGAAGAACGCAGTCAGGACTCTCCCTCTTCCTTTGTGGAATGTATTCTGGGTGACTTGCCTGCTATTGGCGACAAGCGGGCTGCTGTCACCTTTGGGCTCACAGCAGCGTGTGCCGAGTGGGCGTCACGCCGCCTGAGGAGCTGGCCACTCAGAGGCAGGGCCTCGCCCATTGGTCACACCCATGCTCCCCCTTTCCCCATCCTTACTGATACAAAGAAAACCCTTCAAAGCAGAGTCCTTTTCCCTGTCCTAACAATGATGGTTCATGTATAACCACATGTGTGTTCGTGTGCGTGTGTGTGTACATGTGTATAATATCTGGAGAGAGAGTGAGAGTCTCACTGTGGGCACTTATCAAAACGAGAACTTCCAAGTTAGCAGAGCAGGCCACATTAAAAAAAAAACTAAACTGCTAGACATAGATATTTCTGGTGGCTTTATATGTTTACACTCAGAACTGCTTGTTTAGGCCGCTAGCTGGGCTCTGCTGAGTGTTGGCATTGCAGCACCCCGGGCCAGCGCCCTGGCCGCTGTGCCCAGGCACCCGGACAGCCAGGGCTGGGGCTGCTGGATGTTGTGACTGGGCCTGGTGCTAGGGCACTTGATGTTCAGCAAGGGCAGCCACTGGCCCCGAGCACTTACCTGATGACCGCGGTCAGTGCGGAGAGCGGTGTGGGCCTGGGGCTCAGCTGCTTCGTGCTGTGGGCTTTGCAGTCACAGCTAGTCTCAGTCTGAGCGGCCGCTTTGGGCCAGTTCCTCACTCCCGGCTGAGTGTGGTGCTAGAGAGTGTGTGCTTCATGCCTCAGGCTGGTTGCCCTGCAGTGTCCAGGGCCGGGGATCCCAAGGGACACCTCCCACCTTCCCCCGGCTCCCACATTTACCCTGGAAATAACCGTTCTTCAGAAAGAATGAACTGCCGCCCTGTTGCAGCAGCCCTCTTCAAGGGAAAAGCAACTTTAAATGGTCTGATAGGATCGGGCTGTGTTTTAAAAGCATTTAAATAAGGCCAAAGGGAGTATTCATTGTGTGCTCAGATGCAGCGACCAGAATATCTTGGAGGGTCAGTTTTTTTAAAAAAATGATGGACGGCAGTGTAAGTCTGCAGCCAAGGTGTCACACTACCTGTGGACTTTGGAGCTTTCTTTTTATTGTAGGGTGGGGGTAGCCACCCTGCTCACGTGACATTACAGATAATGGACAGTGTTCGAGTTTCTTATTCCTAATGACAGTTGATTCAGCAACACATTGTATTGGTCATAGCTGAAGCAATTTTCTGTTTGTCTCACTTTCACCTTTACCCCCCCAGAGAGCGCTCCCCTCAGCAGAGCACCGTGTCTTGTGTGAGTGTGAGCACGCAGACGGCTTCCGAGGAGCAGGCCGGTAAATTATGGGACGAGCTCAGTCTGGTTGGCCTTCCGGACGCCATTGCTGTAGAAGCCTTACTGGACCCTGCAGGTATGCGCCAGTCTCCGGATCCGGCCCCCTGATTTGGCCAGCATTTGAAGTTCAGTGAATGGTTGATCCAGTAGAAACAGCTGTGATCTCACTGGTAAAGGGATCACTGTTTAGTCCACCTGCAGAGGTCTGCTCTTCTGACCTTGCCTACCTGGCTGGTTTGGCTCCCGATGCCGCCGCAGGTGATGCTTTCATAAGTACCCCGTTTTGCTATCGTGCAGACAGCCGGGCTGGGGCGATCTGACGGTTGAGGAAAGAGGAGCCCAGGGTGGCACGGCAGCCTGGTGGCCAGGCCTGCGGGGGAGGGCTGTGATGTCGCCCTACGGGCCTTCTGCGATCACAGCGTGTGACCTGGCTGGTAGACCGGGTGTCGCGCCATGGGGTTTGGACTAAACTTCCCTCTGTGGCTGAGCCCCGCCACAGCAGGCAGGGTCACGTGTTCTGTGGAGGTTCGAAGACTGAGCTGTTGAGCGCCAAGCGCTCGCCGGCCGCAAAGGGGGCGCTTTGTCACGCACCTCGCTGGTCAGAGCATGTTACATTACGTCCTTTGTAGTGGATGCGGTTCCCAAGCACATTTCTAATACAAAACAAATGGCTGAAAGCAGTTCTTTTTTGCTATCACTAACTCAGCCATCCTTAAACTTTTGTGCGCATCTGGAGAGTTTTATTGAAACATAGGCTGCCGGACACTGTGGCGAGAGCTTCTGAGTCGGGTTCTCAGCCGTGCTCCGAGGGCTTGGTGACACAGGAGCTCCCAGCTGACTCCGTGGCCCAGGGGCTGCCACGCGGCCGGCCACACGTGCCCGGGCTCGTGTCTTTGCTGTGAGCTTTCATCTGTTTGATGATCAGTCACTTGCTCCTGTTCGCTGTTACCCTTTCAGGCACTTGCTGGGCCCATCACCGCTGTGTCGAGTGGTCCCTGGGAGGTGGCCAGATGGAAGAGCCGTTACCAGTGAGCGTGGACAGAGCTGTTGTCTCAGGGAGCACAGAAGTAAGTAGAGGCAACTGCGTTTACCACACAGCTTAATGGTGTCTGCTGTAGTCCATCTGGAGGCTGCAGAAATTATTCTGAAGTGATTATTGTTCTGTAAAGACCCTTTAAGCAGGCAGTTGTGAATGTGTATCAAGAGTCTGTGAAAACAAATTGAAGCTGTGCAGTAAATGTTCAGGTTAAATATTAATATTTTGCATCTGAATCAGGCAGTTTCAGAAGTGAGAATCACTGCATATTAAGACAGAACTGTTTGGAAGTTCGCATTGCAAGACGAGACCTGACAGGCCTCGGCCGCATTAGAGGCCTCGGCTGTGGCGCCCTCCAGCAGGCACCATTCAGTGCGCCTTCTCGGGGCTGCCCGGCAGAGCTCTTGCAGCCTCCCCTCCTCAAGGCTTCTCTGGGGTTTGCGTGTTTTTGCAGAATGACACGCGGAAAGCAGGGCCTTCCCACTATAGACAGAAGCCCCTGGGCGGTGAGCTCGCTCTGCTACCGGCAGACCCGCCTGGGCTCGACGGGGCTGTTTGGGAGCAGGGCCCGCCCGCCAGAGCAGGTTCTCACCAAAGAAATGGTGGCGCCCTCGTGGTCTGAGCCTGGGTGCCCCTGGAAACAGGACGCAGGGCCAGGCTTGGAGTCAGGTCACGGCCCAGCCCGACAGCACCGGCGGCCTGCTGACAGAGGCGAGGGGCCCGCTCCGTCGCGTGTGTGGTTTGCAAGGTGATTACGTTGGCCTGCTGTTCCTCTTTGAACCACGAGCATAATTGGGAAGCCCCGGGTCAGGGCATACATGAGTGGCCAGAGGAAGACTGGAGATGGGGAGCCCCTCTTCTTGCCTGGATGCCTTCAGAAGTAGCGTTGGGTCATCATGTGGCGTGGAAAGGCGTCGCAGGAACGGGAGTGCACAAGGCCTTGGTACCCTTGTGGTGCTGGGTTGGGGGCTGTGTCCGCGGGCGCCGGGGAGCCTCGATGTGCGCGTGGTGCTGGCTGGCGTGGGTGCCCGCGCATCCTCCTCGCCCTGCTCCCAGCGGCAGAGCTTGCTCCCCCTGTCATTTTGTGCAGAAGACACTGTTTTGTTCCGTCAGTGCTTACAGCTCACAGACGAGCCAAATGGGATTCAGAGACCAGCCCACGCCCCCTTCTCCGACCTGTCTCGCAGTGGTGCTGGCGGCCGACAGGGCCTGAGGGAGGCGGCGGCGGGCGGGGACGCGCTCTCTGCTGCTTCTCCCCGGACCCGCACTGTCCAGAGCTGGCGCCGCGGCCTGGTGAGCAGCCCCGGCGTGGCACCGAGCCGCGGCCTGCCCTCAGAGAGCCAAGCCCGCGTCACCAGCGCCCTGGTAGCTCGCCACTCCGGCGGGTGCTCCTGCGATCCTCCGCAGGCACCTTCCTGACCGCCGTCCCCTAGCCCCTCGCCCTGGCTTACGCGAGACCTGCATCCCGCAGGGCCCGGCCGGCCTCCTCCAGCCCACTGTGCCGTCACTTGCCAGTGCCGCTAGCCGTGGTGCCTCTGCTCACAGAGCGAGACCTGTCAGGTGCGGGTCCGGGCCTGCTGGGAGTCTGGAGGAGTCACAGCGAGCTCGCCTTTTGGGGGTCACAGCTTTGTGCTACGCAGTGCGACCTCGAGGGCCGTTGGGCAGTGGCGGCGCCTGTGCGTTCTCTGGAGCCTCTCAGAAGTACCTTTGGACGCAGGACGCGTTTCTGCTTCATCCTTCGTCACGTTGCCGTGTGGCTGTGTCAGAACACGCAGCCCTGCTTTCAAAGGAAGGAAGCACTTCACCTACCTCTGTAAGATAAGCCGGCGTGTCAGCAGTGAGAATGTCGTGACTTACGGAAACTTGCGGGGCCTTGACCGTTTTATGATTTCTGATGTTTTAAATTATTCCAGAGTTTTGCTTTGCTTGAAATCCATTTGTTCAAAGTGGGAAAAAAAAGGGTCCTTATTTTTAATCACAGACGGTGGCAGTCACTAAGTAAACTGGTGATTGTGGTTGGGGTTGACCTGTGAAGTGAGCCCATCCTCCTTCTGAGGGCTCCCTGTTTTTGTGTCTTTTTCCTTTTAACATCTGTAACAGACACTCTAAAGACCCACAGCCAGACTCAGGCCTTTCGCCTGAGCTGGATGCGAGCAGGCCTCCGGCCCTCGGCCCACGCCGGTCGGCCCGCTCTGCTGCGGGCTTGCACGCCTTTGTTACAGGCCCCTGGACAGTGCGTCTGGCCTTTAAGTCCATCTCCAGCCTGGGTAAGTCGTACTGGCTGTGCGAATCTGGCCTCAGCCTTACTCTCACCAGCTCCGAGGCTGTAAGTGCTGCCCGGGCCAGGGTGGCACCTGTTTGGGCTGGCTGCCCCCTCCTGCCTCACAGGTGGGGCCCGGCATGGGCTGAGGAGGGCCTGCTGGCGCGCGGTGCTGCTGGCCTCTAGTGGCAGCGGCGCGTCCTGCAGGCACAGCGGTGGCCGGAGAAGGAGGGGACGGGCTGCTGATGTGTGCCTGAGGTGTGGAGCAGAAGCTTAACTTTTCTGTACCTGCCCCTCAGATGATATTCAGTATTTTCTGGGGTGCAGCCTGACTTTTGCCGGGGGAAAGAGTGGGGCAAACCAAGAACCCATGCTTCAGGGCAGGCCGTGCTCCCTTTTCCATTCTCCAGGAGCCCAGAGTGGCGACCACTGGAGGTCTCTGGAGAACAGGGCTCTAGGCAGAAGGCCTTGAACAAGATTTTAGAGTGTGAGGATGTGTGGGCTTGGGAGCTGAGGATGACAGGAGAGCAGCGTCGGGGCTGCACGTGTGGGTGTCCTAAGCCTGCACGCCTCCTGAGGCGTTCCACCAGTGAAGTTTCTTCCTAAGAAGAGCAGCGTGCGTTCATTAGCCTGAACTCTGCCTTCTGTGGTGAAACAGAAAGAGTCACTTTGATGACAGGAGCATTTAGGATTGCGCCCATAAGTAACAGCCAGTGAATTCCTGAATCCAGGTCTTCTGTAAGAGACGTGAAGGCAGAACGTTACAGGGGTCCGTGAGTAGTGCGGATCCTGTGTGGCTCAGGTGGGGGAGTTGAAGGTGAGTGAGTGCTGTGTTAAGCCGGCCTCTGGGAAATGGGAGGTTTGCTTTGGAATTGCTGCGCTTCAAAATCCATGAAAATTGTTGGGACCGAGTGTCTGAATTGGAATCATTTCCCAATCCATTTTCTCAATGAAGTACGTTAACCAAGAGGAAAAAAGAAGAGGGGAGCTTGACCCTCGGCCATGGCTCAGACGATCCATGAAGAGATGTCATGGAATAAAAGTGCTAGGAAGTATGCTAGGAATCATAGTGCCTCTGGGCTGCTATTTAAGGAGGCACAGACAGGGATCTGAGACGGGTTTTGTGTCACCAGGGCTTCTAGAAGCATTTTCTAAATACAACATAATCACGAAATGGGGGAGTTTCGGGAGTGAGCTCATTCTGACGCTGGGCGCTAATGTCGGCGATGCTTGCGTCACGTCTTGCCTGCTGGACGCAGTTCATCGTGCACAGTCAGGAGAAGCTGTGTTGTCTTCACTCTGAAATGCTAACGGGGGGATGTCAAAGATCTTTGTGGACCCACTTGTTCGTCAGGGCTCAGTACGAAGCGCAGACACAGCAGACCGCCCAGGCGTGACCAGGCTGCACTGCCCCTGTTCGCGCCGTGCCTGCCAGCCCCGCCTGCTGCCTCCAGCTGCGGAGCGGGCTTGCGGTAGCTCCGCGCTGAGAGCAGCAGGAAGCTTGGTAAAGTGTTTTTTTTTTTCCCCCAATGAAATATTTAGAGTCCTTAGAGAAAGGCAGGAGTGAGGATTTGAGGGAGTAAAGGCCCACTGGGGTAGGCTGTGCCTAGACATCCGCCAGACTCCAGCTGTCTTCCCCCAGGGACATCGCCCTGCCTAGAGAAGGCCAGCCGGGGACTGGAAGGCAGCTTCTGGCATCCCGTACAGCTGGGGTGAGGATAGGCTTTGGGGCCACCGACTGCTTGCTGTGGACGTGGGTCCCCGCCAGGCTGCACGCCGTGGCCTGCAGGTCAGCTCCGGCCCAGTGCCTGGGCTCACGCGGCCCGTGTTTGGACGTAAGCCTGTGTTTGGTGTAGTTTCATAGAATGCAGCTCACCACACATGAAAAACAGAGAAGTCTCCATTCGTTGTCCTTCAGGGAGCTGTGGTGCACCCCATCCTTACGGCAGCAAGGAGCGGCACTGGGGCCCTTGCGCGCGGCACGCCAGCCGATGGCTGGGCTGGCCCTGCACCTCAGTGGAACACGGCCCCCCAAGGCGCCGGGCCGAGCAGAGGCGCGTGGTCTCGGCAGACAGCCCCGCCAACTCCAAATACCTCTGTGAGCCAGGTGGACTCAAAGATGGCGGCGAAAAAACAGGGCTAATCTTAAAGCTCATTACTGGTGTACTAGCTTTGATTTCTTTGATTTCGTTAGGATTTCTCTTAAATTCATGCACAGGCACATTACTTTTTTAGCTAGGGGGAATTAATTAAAAGGTACTTGTAGTTTGGGCAGGGGAATAAAAAATGTTAAGGGTGTTTTAAAGTGCTCTGGAACTAAATGGAAAATACCAGTGTGAACTCATGATTTGGAAAAGTACCTCTTTGCCACGAGCGGTTCTATTTTGAGCAAGGAGCACCACAGCCCAAGAGGTAACGGAGATGCAGGTGCTCCCGAGCAGACCCACGGACGCGAACCCCTGAGACTTCATGTCCTCACAGCTCACGTTTGACTCAGCCACCCGTACACACCTAGAGGTCACCTCCCTCCCCCCGAATCTTCATGCTCTCTGGGCCTGCCGTTCTCCTGGTGGTCTGTAGCCTCGAGTCTCACCAGTGGGGGCCTCTGGCCAGTGGGCGTCTGGGCTGTGCTGCCGCTGCCGCGCCTCTCAGCCCTCGCGCGTGTGCTCTCTGGGACCAGCGTCTGCAGTTGTAGGCGCCCGTGCCAGTGCCCATACCCCTGGGCCGGGCGTCCACGCCAGCGACAGGAGGGTGACCAGTTTGGTGCACTC